GTAGTAGTAGTAGTAGTAGTAGTAGTAGTAGTAGTAGTAGTAGTAGTGGTAAGTGGAGGTAATAATAGTAGTAATCAGATTAATATTAATATAAGTAGTTAAGTAATAGCAGTGATGGTGGTAATAGTTATGGTGGCCGTTGTAGTAGCAGTAGTAGTAATCATAGTATTAGTGGTAATAGTAGTAGTATTAGTAGAAAAGGTAATACTAGTATAAGTAGTAGTATTTATAATAGTAGTAGTAGTAGTAGTAGTAGTAGTAGTAGTAGTGATGATGATGATGATGATGATGATGATGATGATGATGATGATGATGATGATGAAAGATGATGATGATGATGATGATGATGATGATGATGATGATGATGATGATGAGATGATGATGATGATGATGATGATGATGATGATGATGATGATGATGATGATATGGATGATGATGATGATGGTGGTGGTGATTATGGTGATGATGATGAATGATGATGATGATGATGATGATGATGATGATGATGATGATGATGATGATAGTTGTTATTGTTGTAATCATAATAATGGTAGTAGTAGTTTAGCCGGTATTAGTAGTATTCGTAGTTTTTGTCGTTAGTTATTGTGGTATTAGTAAAAAAGGTTGGGCGAAAAAAACAACACTGTTCTAAACTCTTTACTGGCAAGGGTATTATACTAGGTGGAACTCTCACCAGTATCCGGCTCTAACGCAAGTTGTCTAGGATGACATATTTAACGCCTATAGATAATGCATTCTCACCACTGTCAGCCGATGTAAAGCAGGCTCTAGAGTTTTACGGTTTAATCTGCCCCGCAGCTTTTGGATGACTGGTATAGATATTAGGGGAGAGAATGGGATCTAATTCGAAGCCTAAACTTTAATCAATTCTCCAGTTGCCTTGTTTCCGGCATGGGCAATTATCTTGATGACTGCAAAATTACAGTCGTGACACGCGCATGACACGAGCATGTGTTTAGTCTGACCTACAAAATTGCAAAATAATTTGAGGCACGAGATACTATAAACTACGCCAAACTGTTTTACGGCTCTGTTATGCATGGCGGCTCCCCTGGGCCAGTGTGCAATTCCAATATCCGGTCCCGCATTTATGCACTCCGTTTCTGAAACGCCCTTGGTGGTATATCGTTAATTGTACAGCTGGGAAGATTGAGTGTAACTCAGTATTAGTATCAGTTATGGAAAGCCTGCAGACATGCGTGTCTTGAACGATGCCAAAAGATCAGCTCATGCTGAAAGCAGGTGGTCCTTTCTAACTCCTGTATGACCGGTTCTACTACTTGCTTGCGCCCCTGGCACCCTTGGTCGCCCAAACCATTAAAATCAAG